AGGAAGCACTAATAGCCGTCTTACATTATATTGAGCTTAAAAGGCCTCCTCTTTTCTTTTAAGCCTAACTTTCCTCCCTGAAAGCTGTCCATGAAGAGTTGGCTCAGAACGGTGAGCTGCAGGCCCGTGACAATCCCCACGCGTGCCTTTGCTCTTCGATCAGAGGGGGCTTCTGAAACTGTACAGATCATTCGGACCAAGAGGTTTCATTGTGTGTTCAGCACAAGATGACTTGTTTTCCCCACCCCCCAACAGCTGTATGTCATTTAACAGGATCAACGGAGAGCCTGTGCTTTGCGGCGTCAGTGTTAAGCACTCTTTTTATTAGTTCTGAAAAAGCTACTGTATTTAATGTGGTACGGCTTACTCGTGTTTATGTTCCTAAAGATCCCCAGATGTGGACATGTAAAACGAAAACACACCATAACGGCACAGAGAGCAGCTGCTCCGGCCATGTCTCTCGAGAGGTGAAGCCATATGCTGTGTGCGCTCTCCCAAGGGCAGGAAAAAGTGGAGCACTCTTGTTTTTACTATTGTGGCCTCCCTCCCTGGGGATCTCCTGCAGGGTTGGAAAGCTATGCATGTAAAGCCACTTCTGAGGGGCTGGTCAGCAACCAGCCAGACCACAACATGCTGCCCAGGCCTTTGGAGATGGCTGGTTTTGACCCTGGGTTCTGGGGTAGTTCCTAGGTCCTACCACTGCCTGCAGGAGCTTTTTTAATATTTGCAGAGAACAGACAAGATTAGTTTTAAGGACTTATCTAAAAGCCTCTTGCTTTAGAAAATGCATAATACTCTACTCTGGAAGGATGAGGAGAAGAGGTGAGTTACCTTGTCAGGATTAATACCTGTGGTTTCCGAGAGTTGTATCAAATCTGAAACCCAGACTGCCATGGCATCCCCTCTGCGTGCTGCGTTTGCTCCAGTGTCTTCCAGGTTTGCGTGTTTAAAGCTTTGCATCTTGAGGTGAAGACATCCCAGCAGGCACTTTCACAAGCTTTGGGATCAGTTTGACTCTGCTGTTGTTTTCAGTAGGCATGTCTACAGGTGCACTTCAATAATGCACATTAGCCTATTTTATAGAATCACAGAAACCGGTGGTGGGAAGGGACTGCGGGAGGTCACGTCTGCTGCAACCTCCTGCTCAACGCAGGACCAGCCCCAACTACATCGTCCCAGACAAGGCTCTGTCTAGCCGGGTCTTAATTTTTTATTATTACTACTTTTAATGCATATTAAAGTGTCACAAACTCTGCTCTTTAGCTAACGTGCATTAAAATAGGCACGTGTCCATTTTGCTAGTACCTCACAATGAAGGGACTAGATTTTAATGTGCATTACCAAGAGCACATTAACGAACGTGTAGACGTGCCCAGTACGGAGCAAAGTTAAGCCAATGCTGCATTGCTTCTGGAGATCTCAGCCCAGTGTCCTCCATCCTTTTAACCTCATCTCCCCTGCCTACTTGCCAGTGAAAGTGCTTTGATTCTCATTCCTAACAGAGGAGGAGGGATATGCTTATGCACAGTGTATAAAGTGTGTTTATACACGTGTTCCTTGTATGTTTTATATTTCCTTCTGCACTTTTATAGCGAGCGTCCCAGGCAGGAGGAAGAGAGTGTGACCGCTTTGTAGCATAAACATCCTGCATTGCAGCGGTTGGGTCATGTTTTATTTGGATATTTTTTATCGGATTCAGAATTGGTATTTTTATCAGATACCGAGTATATTGGATTCTTTTTTCTTGTCCGTGTCACTGAGAGAAACGAGAGATTGAGTGATCAGGCTCTCTCTGCTGCTTTATTTTGTTCGGTCTGGATGAGAAAGCTAAGGGCTTTTCCTAACAAGTTATAGATTTATTGTTGGCGTGAAATGCTCTTAACAGGCCTAGCGTGAACTTCCTGATGGTGATGTTATAGCCCAGAAATCTGGGAGGATGCACAAAGCTACTCTGCCAGCAAAACACCAGTAAATTATTAAACCTCTGCGTTGGAGAGCACTAAGTGCTTGCATGCATTCTGTTTCTAATGTTACGGGGCACCGGGGTCCCTGGACTGGATGGCTCTGTTAATCTGAGTAGTTGAGATGGTTGCGGGCTGGATGTGCTGTAGCTCTGAAACCTTCTAGCGCAGCATTAACTAATACGCTTGTTCTTGCACGGTGCCGACAGGTGCCGGCAGTTGTGTGCAGGGTGACAGTATTGTCTTAAGTTGAGATGGAAGGGAGTGTAGAGCAGCGGGCTGAATTGCTAACTCACGTCTTCACCCCCAGCCCATCTGGTCCTTTGCAATGGTTGCTGTTGCCCTTGTTGGAAGACAGTTGCTGGATTAAAAGCCTTTTTGCGTTGGAGAGCCAGTGAACGTCAAGTCGCACGCTGCGGTGGACCTGTAATAACACAGAAAGCTCCCCCAAGACCAAGGAGACCTGTTGGACTCTGGCTGTTTGCGGTGTTGAAGTTGGGATGCCTCTAAGGCTGAGATGCAGGACCATAATGATGCTCCCTGACTCCCTTCATCAGGGAATTGTGTGTGGTTTGAGAGACGCCAGCTTCTTCACCCTTCCTAACTCAGTCCTTGCTAGAGGAACCCAATTGCTTTGCTGTCTGAAGGCTGCGTCTGCCATTCAGAGCCGCAGAGTTGGTGCTTGAGCTTCGCCAGCCAAGTGAACGTGTGCCTACCCCTCCCACCCCCTCCCTTACCACTTTTCCTGGTCCCAAAAGAGGCAGAACAGTTTTGGGTAGACTATAGTAAGAAATGTTTCCTTCCTTTGCCTTCAGATGCAGACACTGTTCATAAAAATACTTGCTTCCATTTTCTTCACTGAACTGTTTCATTACTGGAATAGTGACTCCTTTTCAGTATCTCAGTCCGAGAATGAACAAATGGTGTCGATCATGGGTCAGAATACATGATGTAATTGGTGAAAGGGGATTTCTGCTATGTAAAGAGCTTTTGTCTTAACTGAATCCGTGTTTGGATGTGTTTCAGCATTTCCCATGCATGCCCCATTGCAGGGACAGAGCAGCATAGGGAACTGCATTTATTGAACCATGCAGTAGTGAAAAGGTTTGCTTTTGCACATCTTCCCCACGGACCAAGGGCTGAGACTCGGGACATGCCATGCAGTGTTAGAGGCCTGCCCCCGCCTTGTCCTACTGCCCACATCCAGTACCTTGCACCTGAGCACGTGGGGGCTGTACGAATGCAAGCAGCACCTTGCAGCGCTGCCCCTGAGAGCAGTTAGGTCAGGGTACATTATTTGCCCGGTATCCCCGTTGCGGTCGCTAGCAGAACACACACACTTCTGCTGCGATCCAGTCGGGAAACTAGCATTGTACAGATGGGAGAGCAGAGCAGCGGCGATGCCAAGAGACCTGTCCAAAGCTACGCAGCGGAGCCAGGAGTGGAGCCCGGGAGCCCAGAACTCCCAGCCCGCCGCTCCAGCTGCAGTCCTGCAGCGTCTCGAGCAGTGCATCCAAGGTTTTCTGGTGTAACAATCTGGATGGAAAGAGATGAGCTTGGCTAATGTTTGCAGCAAAGGGAGCAGCTGGGGGAGGAGTTGAGTGTAAAAAAAAAAAATAATAATAATAAAACAAAACAAGCAGCTTGCAGGCCAGGGTCTGTTTTCAGTTAGTGTACAAGCAAGCTTCAGGGGTTGTTACAGGGAGAGGAGGTCCTCGTTCCTTTTATTGATCGTGTTTTCTTTGTTTCTTTTGGCGGTAATTAAAATACCACAGACACGGGCATTAGGAGCTGGATTTCCTCTTCCTGCAAATGGTTTCCTGTTGGGGAAAGCAGGCATGGGAATCAGTAGCTGCAAGTGAAATGATTTTAGGGTATTTGAAAGGAGGGAAGTAGCGGGGAGAGATTTATTTTGCGTGCATGTCTGCAGGTTGGGTTGCAGAGCCGATTGTGCTTTCAGATCCCGGTCTCCCGCTTCAGGTCACATTTCTTGTCTCTGCTGGAACCAGCTGCTCTTCCTTTTGTCCTGAGACGGAGGTCAGATTTGATCTTGTAGGATTCACTGTACATGGTGAACAGTAAAATCAGACCAATTTGCCTGTCACACAAACGGCACCGTGACGTACAGCACAGTCCTTCATCCCCCCCATCCTCCCCTTGGTCAGAGATGCGCAGGAGCTCCCCTTCATTGTGAAGTCTCCGTTAAAGGACTCGCAGCATCTCGTTCAGTTCGGAGGTGGGCTCTGGAGCCGCCCGGTCCTCCAGCAGCCTGTCTCTTCTACGCTGCCAGTGCAGACCCACCACAGGCTCCCAAACTGGTTGAAATGGGCAGGTATTTACTACCTTGGATTTCAGATGGGCAGGGAGGAGATGTGGGAGGAGAGAGGTTCTTGGTTCTTTACAGTAGTTTAAAAAATGTTGGGGCTTGGCCCAGCTGCAAAGCTGGCTGGCACTTCACGTTTGGTAAAGGTTTTGAGAAACGGTTGAGTTGAGATCCATAGGGATAAGAAGCTGCTTTGGGCATTGACTCTGCAGCAGCCATTCAGTAGCTTGGGAAATGCAGTGCTTGGACCATGTCCACATCTGGGAGCACTGGCACTTTGTGAAAACCATGATCCTTCTGGCCTGCTCTTGCTATCGACCTTGGCAGCCATGGCAGGGGCCGTCTGAGCCGTGGAGACTGCTCTCACCCCCTCTCGGGTGCAGAGAGGTCACTGGACACGCACGATGTGCTGCCTGCTGGCTTCCCCGCCCCGCGGCTTAGCAAAGCTAATCTCGGAGGTCACTGACCCAGCACCTCTCAACAGGAAAAGCATATGCAGTGCTGGAGACGTCCATCCTTCCAGCAGATAGATAACTAAGTCTGAATCACATCCTGCTGTCTACTAGCAGGGATTTCCACATCTCGGAGACGAAATATCGGGGCACCAGGAGCATTTGTCTTATCCTGAAATGATTCATGTTGGTTTCCTTCTGCTTATTTCTTCCCAGCAACTGCCTTACCGTAAACTGAAGCACAAATTTGTATTTCTGTTCCAGGCCCAGCACAGAGACACTTTCATTGAAGAACGCTATGGGAAATACAACATCAGTGACCCACTAATGGCTCTGCAGAGAGATTTTGAGTCACTGAAGGAGGGAAATCATGGCGAAAAGCAGCCTGTCTGCTCCAACCCCTTGTCTATCCTGAAAGTAGTGATGAAGCACTGCAAGAACATGCAGGAAAGAATGCTGTCCCAGTTAGCTGCTGCAGAAAGCCGGCACAGAAAGGTAGGCCTCGGTCTCTGCCCTGCTTGCTTTCAGTAATGTGCCCAAAGAGTTTCTTGACCTGGTGAAGGAGCTTGTTTTACAGCCTTAAAGCTTCAAATTCATCCATATGATGTAAGAAGTGAAGCTCACGTATTGTAAGTACAAAGGTAGAAGTGCTGCTTGCTGTTTACTTAGCAAGAGCACAGTGAAATATGTAGAAGTGAATCTTTTGCCTAGGAGCCTGAGACTTGGAGAGTACTCCAGACTCTTTGGGGCCAGTGCCCTGCTACTGCAGACACCACACGGTGACGAGTCCTTCGTAGAATAATCGAGCATCCTCTTAGTCATTGGGTTTGTAGATCTGCTTCCTCCTTCTGGGAGGCGGCTGCAGCTCCTCACTGCTCTGATGGTTAGAAATGCTCTAATTTCCAACCTAAATGTATTCCCGGGCAGTCTACTTGCACAGCATTACCCTCTACCATCCTCTGTAAAGTCACTGTGTGCTTCACCTGAGTCTAAAGAAAGAGCTCGCGCAAGTAGTCCCATCCCGTGTGGGCGTGAGGCATGCAGGGTTGGGACCTTTACGCCTAATTAATGTCAGAAGATCTAGTTTCCACTCCTGTGCGTTATACTGACTGTGAAGGAGTGGCCTGGATTTATTCCCTCTTGTGCAATGACAAAAACCACTGGCAGGAGCAGTTCCGATTGCAGAAATGTCGCTGCACCCATGCAGCAAGCAGCTGGGCTTTCCAGCTTCAGATGAAGGGTGCAGGGATGGCATTTATTTGGAAGTAGTCTTTTTGCACTCCATTTACAAAGCAGTTTGATCTGCAGCTCATGGAAGAATAAACAGGGACTGTGCCCTGTTCTTTTTTTTTTTAGCTACGTAGCTGGCAATAATTGGGCTTCTAAAATCTTATAGCCCCTTCCCACAAGGTTTGCTGCCTTCCTCGAGCGTGGTGTCTAGCAGCTGAATGGGAAGGATAGAGGATACTAAAGGAGTTCTTGGCGAGCCTATTAGAGGGACCCTGGGGTTCTGGTCATGACACCCTCTGGGGTGCCCCAGGGATGACGGCGCGCTGGCGTTTTTGCTGAGTTTCTAGAATCCCAATTATTCCTGTAAGTCAGTGTTCAAATTTGAAGGAGCGCCTCAACCAGGTCCTTAAGGCAGGCATTTCCATTTCAAGTGTTCATCTTGCTTCAATCCGATTTGACAAGAGAAGTTTATTTTAAAGAACTCTAGTTTGTTCCTCCACTTGATTGCATTTGCACTGCATTCTCCAAATCTCTCCCACGACACTAATAGAGAGAAATAGATATTGTGCAGATTGCCACTGAGCCTACAGCTCAAAACTAGACTGATGTGATTACGGCCAGGACCCTGCTTCCTGGGCGCCTGCATTGTCTGAGGCATTGCCTCTGCTCCTGCTCTTTGCACCGATGATCTTGCCAGGAAATCGCACCTAGGGCAGTGGGCAGCCAGTTGCCAGTACAGTTGAAATCATGTGAAAGAGCACTTCCATACAAACTGCAACCTGGAGACAGGCCTGTAGGCTAGCTCTTGAAAGCTAGCTCTTAAAGGCTAAAATAAGGACATGTGTGGGTTGCAGGTGATGCCGCACGGTCGTCTCTCCGGCACAACTTTGGGCTGACCCTCTGCATTTGAGGGATGCTGTTTCACTCGTCTGCCCAAATTTGGCCTTGGCCAGTGCACAGCACTAGTCTCGAGCCATTCTGAGCAGCTGTTTCCATGAGTCTGTGCTGTCTGGTGACTGAAGTGTCTGTGCCTGTTTGGAAGGTGATCCTGGACCTGGAGGAGGAGCGGCAGCGGCACGCCCAAGACACGGCCGAAGGAGATGATGTCACCTACATGCTGGAGAAGGAGAGGGAGCGGCTCACTCAGCAGGTGTGCTTCCATGCTTGGTAACCCTGCCCCGGAGAGCTGCATGTCCTGGGAACACATCCTTATCCATGGGCTGGGGAGCGGGCTCCTCCAACTGTGCTGGAGCGGTGGAGGAATGTGAAGGGTCTGATTCCAGGCATTATTCTTTTCCTGCCTCTTGGCAACGGGATGTAAACTACATCCAGAGCCTGCCCAGATTTGTGCACAGCTGAAGTGTTCAACAGCAATGAAATAGGTTCAGGAGCTTGCTTGAGACCTGAAAAGAGCTGTGGGAGGGGGCTGAGCCTTGCAGGCCCACCGATGCCGGCCGGCTCCGATGCTGTGCAGTACCAGTGCAGAATGCCGGCCAGTGTGGGAAGGACCGGTATACTCCTGTTCGGAAAGCTGCAGCAAGCCAAACCCCTGCTGCTGCTTTATCTGGTATGCAAGAGCAATAGCATGTTAAGGCCTTAGACTTTAGACCTCCATAAACATTGCTAAGTAGCTTAAGGAGCAGACTGAGCAGGGAACAAATAAGGTGGAGTGTAAAGGAGTCTCCAGTTGAGATGACCGCCTCAATCCTTGCAGGGCTGGTCACAGGTGTTGCATTACAAGGACACAACTGCACGCTGCCCAGCATTCAGTATTTGACTGGTCCGTTCATGCTTTGTGCCTGGCAAGGTGTGATTTTGAGCTGGCTTTTTACCTTGCTGCACTTGGTGACCCCTAGATACTTGCTCTGGGACAGGCCCCCCATGCTTCCCCTTGCTTTTGGTGTTAACGTTGCCATCTGTTATTGGGGCACACAGGGATCGGAGCTCACACGTGAGAAAATGCTTTCAGGTCTGCAGGACCTCCCCACTGACTCTTTGGGATTGGAAACATTGCTTCTGTAGCATTTGCCAAACTTGGTGCTTCCTTCTGAGAACCTTCTGTCTTCTTTTCTAGTTGGAGTTTGAAAAATCCCAAGGGAAGAAGTTGGAGAAAGAGCAGAAGAAGCTGGCAAGCCAGTTGGAGGAGGAGAGGGCACGCCACAAGCAGCTGTCCTCCATGCTGGTCCTGGAGTGCAAGAAAGCTACAGCCAAAGCAGCAGAAGAAGCGCAGAAGGCAGGAGAGCTAAGCCTGAAACTGGAGAAGGAGAGGAGCAGAGTGAGCCGGCTGGAGGAAGAGCTGGCCTCCAAGAAGAAGTGGGGCTTGCAGATGGAGGCACAGGTGGAGAAGCAGCTCTCAGAGTTCGACATCGAGAGAGAGCAGCTGAAAGCCAAGCTGAACCGGGAGGAGAACCGGACCAGGGCCCTCAAGGAAGAAGTGGAAAACCTGAAGAAAGCCTTGAAGGAACTGGAGACTTCTCGCAGGGACAGCAGCCCTGCTGACTGCTCGCAGCCAAGCCCCTCCACGGTGACCAGAGCTGTTGAAACCGAGAGCAGGTCGGTGAGGTCTGTGTCTTGCCAGACAGACGGTGCTGAAGCAGACAAAGCCAACGTGGGCAGCGCAGGCAAAGCCTCGCCCATGGTGCTGCCCAGCCCCATCACACCTCCCTCGTCCTATGCAAAAGCAAACGGGCACTGCGATGCAGACATGCAAGCAGGTAGTGACCTACCGCAGGCCAGCGGGAAGGAGACCCAGAAACTCGCTGGGCCGGCCCCCGACAGCGCGGCTGAGAACGGAAGCTCCCCAGTGCGAACGGAGTCTCCGGTCCATATGACTGCACAGCTCCCTTCGTCTGGGGCGTCCGTGTCCCCCAGCAGCACCGCAGCCTCCTCCCTGACGTCCTCCCCATGCTCCTCTCCGGTTCTCTCTAAACGCCTGGTGGGAGCTTCAGCGAGCAGTCCCGGCTATCAGTCATCCTACCAGGTGGGAATCAACCAGCGTTTCCACGCCGCTCGCCATAAATTCCAGTCTCAAGCGGATCAGGACCAACAGTCCAGCGGGCTGCAGAGTCCTCCCTCAAGGGATTTGTCTCCGACCCTTGCAGATAACTCCGCTGCCAAGCAGTTAGCCCGCAATACCGTCACTCAGGTCCTTTCCCGATTCACCAGTCAGCAGGGGACTATAAAACCAGTCTCCCCCAACAGCTCGCCCTTTGGCACAGACTACCGAAATCTGGCAAATGCTGTGAGCCCCAAAAGTGAGTCTGGCCATTCCCCAAACCCGGGCAAGGTCTCCAGCCCGCTGAGCCCGTTGTCTCCTGGAATAAAGTCGCCAACCATCCCCAGAGCAGAAAGAGGGAACCCCCCACCTATTCCTCCAAAGAAGCCTGGCCTGGCTCAGTCCCCGGCCACTCCTGCTCCGCTAACCAAAACCCTTTCCCAGGCGTCTTCTCTGGGCACCCCCATGGACTTAGCGGGCAGCTGCTCTAACAACGCTGTCGTAGCAAACGGTAAAGACATTGAGATACTGCTGCCAACTAGCAGCTAGTGTCCAGAAGGCGTCAAGGCGACATTCCAAGGCTCGGCATCCTGGAGCTGAGACGCGCTCTCCCCACTTCGTGTTATTTATTTGGATAGTAGCAGCCTCTGTCCGTGTCGTGCATTTAATAGGGTCCCCCTTTTTTTTTCTTTTTTTTTTTTTTTCTTCAAAGTAGGTAGGAAAGGATTTTTGCATTGCTGTATTAACAGGAACTAGAGCTAGAAGGTAGCCTCAAAAGGGGTCTCGTGGCAGGAGTCAGGTCAACTGAGGAGGCAAGAATCTCAACCCCGTGCTGGGCGCCGGCGAGCAACTGTCGTGGGACTGAAAGGCTCATTTTAAATTATGCAGAAATGACTTCACAGACTTTTGCTCCAGATGAACATTGTATAAAAAGTGCCTGAACAAAGCCTACAGTATGAATGTGGTTCTCTGCAACAAAAAAAAAAACCCAACACAGAACAGGAGGGAGGAGGGGCAGGAAGACCATCCAACTGCAGCGATGAGTTCTATGAATCCTGAATGTCTAAAACAACACTGAAACCAACTGTTCGTAGAACAAGTCAGTAAGCCAAGTGCTACACGGTGACTCCTGAAAGGTGACTGCCGACTGGCCCAGACGGCCAGGTTTGGCCCTGCGAGACCACCGCTCCTGTTGACGTCTCTGGAGGCGCACAGGAGCTACTTAACGGAGAATTTGGTCCTGGTCCAGGCCAGAGATCTTCCTTTCCTAGCTGGAGTTGTCCAAGTCCGGTGGGCGTATTAAATAGTCAGGGTGCCAGTTTTCCTTCAGCTTAATAACTCCATCCAAAGATGTCTCGGTGTGCGATAGATGGCTTCCCGGCCTGTCACCTTCAGCGTTAAAATTCCTCACGCGTTCTGCTGTTGTGTGTACAACTTCTGAGACCAGGATCGTGCTATTACTTGATAAGGATCTTGCTATTACTTGAAAAGTGAAATCTCTACCCCATTCCAAACAGGTTTTGCAACGGAAAGATGGGATCTGTACGATGATCAAAAGCAATAAGTTAAGTTGCTCACTTTGTAAGCATGCTACGCGGCAGACTGACAGATTTTTCTGACTAACCGGGTTTGCAATAGAGCCTGCTAGCCTTCACTGGCTGCAACCGTGGAACCAAATTGTTAACTCTTTCATAGATAGATATGCATATATATGTATAGGTAGGTGCCCACGTGTACATGTTAACACATAATACTTATATATAAACCTTAGTCGGGTATTATTGAGGTTCTCCTTGCTTCGTAAAGGAAAGGTGGAAATGCCTCGGGACTGTAACACAAGAGAGCAGTTACTTAAAACCCAATACTCTGCCCATGCTTTAGGGGCAGACCTCCTGCAGGAAAGCGCTCCAGCATGTTGAACCGACCAGTAGTGATGGCTGAAGTAGCTTACAAGAGATTACAGTGCAGTTATAACGGTTGAGTTGGGCATTTAAGTAAACGGGTAGACTCCGGTCCGTGCTGCTAGCTCGTTGCAGAGGACGGCGCAGGTTCAGGTGCTGCAGCGGTACAGGCCAAACGTAAGGCGGGTGGAGATCAGTGGGGCAGATTGGAGATGAGGAGCAAGCCTCGCAAGGGCAGAGCAGGAGGCAAGAACTGCACAAAGGTGAGAAATCGATGTTGCTGCCCAATGCTGGGCCGTGTTTTACAGTCTGCAGCAGCAGCCCGGTGCCTGGAGATCAGCCCCACAGAGCCCCTGGGGCCACTCTCTCCTGTCGGCACTTATCATTTGGGTAGAGTCGAAACACTTGCTACCTTGCTATAGGAAATATCCCCCCCGAAGTGCGTGGGAGGCGCTACTGTCCATGACCTAAGAGGTCACTCCAAGCTCTGAATCGTGGGTTGTAGGACTTGAGAGCTCCTGAGCTGCTCTGGAGGAGCCAGAGTCGTACCAACCCTTCTCCTGACCCTACAGATGTGTCGGGCCTCTGGTGTAATCCAGTAGAAACCGGCATCGATCGACTGAAGTTAGGGATTTATGCACTGTTGCTCCTAACTCACTGTAATAGTAGAATAATACTAGGCTAGAGGGGAGCGACTCTTTGGAAAGCACATCTAGAATTTGATGTGTCCCCAGCCCATTTTTTCTCCTGGTTAAGGGGAAGAGCTGAGAACTGATGGGGGAACGGAGCTGCCGTATCACTTCTAACTCAAACCTGAGGGTGGAACAGCTGCTCCACCCTGTTTCCTTGCTTTTACTCCAAGTGGTATTATCCCCTTTCTTTATGACGTGGCTCTGTAGAGATATATACTCTAATTAAGTTTATTTCTTAGGAAATGCACTGAATAATGTATTTCTTCTATAATATAGGAAGGGGGGGGTGCAAAAGAATATGTATTTTTGCTAGTAGCCTATCTTCTGAGATTAAACTAAGCACAAATATTAAAATGGATCCAGCTAATCCAATAACAGTTAGAATTAGTATTTGAACTTTCGACGTAGATTCTGTGTGTGGAAGCAACTAAGTTTTTCTGTGATTCGCATCTTAGCCATATGCAGGTATTGTTGCGGAGTTTTTTTGTCAGCCGCCGGTGGGGCATCATGAAGTGCAAAAGATGTACACTGGTATTAATTGTTAACATTTGTAAATTTGTAAAGCCAAATGTACCAAGCGGATGTCGCGAATCACTTTTCCAACTGATGGCATTAAATGTGGTAAGCATTCATACTATCAATAAAGGATTTTATTTTTAAGATGTGACTATATGGTGCAAGAAAGTGTTCGTGCACGTCCTTGACTTCTTCTCATGCTGGGGCCTCGGGGGCTGGCACTCGGGCCATCGCTGGCGGGGCATATGCCCCTCTATCACTAGCTGCTGACTTCTTACATACTGCAAAACTCCCACTGGTGCCACAGGGACACTGGGAAAGTCCTGGCTCCCCAGGGTACTCCACAGCCCAGAGCACGAGCTGCAGGGACTGGGCTCTCCTAGAGATGCTTTGCCATGTTATCTTTGCCCGTAGCAGATTTAGTGATCTGTTTGTTTGTTTTTCTCCAAACGTTTAGCAAATGACCAACTTACTCAGCCTTCATATCCTTACCGTTTGCTTAAACGGAGCTATTGCCAGAATCGTCGCTTAGATGCTCCTGCTGTATTCCTTGCTGGTGAGACATTGCCTGGAGTCCTGCGACTGGTTTTGAGCCCCCCATGGCAAGAAAGACGTGGATACGTTAGAAGAGGTTCAGCAAAGAGCAAGAAACAGGATTCCTAGTCATGTTTTCCAGGTGACAAGCAAAGCGGGGAAGAACTGGGGTTACTTAGCCTTGCAGCACAGGAGAGCTGAGTGGGTTGTTATAAAGTGGATGGTGGGAGTCTCTTCTCCACAGGAACCAGGGCAGGACAAAGCCGTCTTAAATTGTACCAAAGGAGATTTGGTTTGGATGTTAGGAAGAGGTTTTAGGACTGAGGCTGATTAAGCACTGGGGAGATTAGAAAGGGGGTGGAGGTTCAACACCTGCTTGTCTAGGATGGTTTCGGCTGCAATGAGCTTCCCTGGAGCGGGGGGTTAGAACAGGAGACCTGGGCTCCCTTCCAGCCCTGCTTTTTTCCTAATATAGTAACGCTGGGAGGAAAACGCCAATCTCTGTTCATAAATCCGGGTTTGAAGGGGTCGGTTGTTTTTGGATTTCAAGGACTTCTGAACCGACAGCGCATGCATCCGATCACAGTCCTGCAGGGGCAGTGGGCGTTACTCCGTGGGCTTTCGCATGGCTGTGTGCACTTAGCTTGGCCTGGAGCTCTTATCTAGACGGTCGAGTTCAAAATAAACAGGAATCAGTGTGGAAATGCCTGTAGTCAGCTGCTCCGCACTGACTCAACTAGCAGAGTGAGTGTGAAACTGCTTGATATTGGGCCCATCACAGCACCGTGTCCTGCTCGGTGACCTTGATGCGTTTCACTAGCACAGCTGTAGTGCTCCGGCTTTCCCCGTCACAAGCACCGGTGCTAAGGAATGAGAAAGGAACAGCCTCCTGTTAGCATTTTCAGATCATTGCCAGTCCATTCGCCTTCATTCTCTCAAGCAGGTTCATGACAATCCCAGTCTTCGGGGTGCTTGTCCACTGATTTAACCGTTCCCTGCATTGCTGCGGGTTTATAGCCATTTCTGTGCCGGCCGCAGCCCTGGATGTCTGTGTCCCTAAGGAATTGTGGCGCCTGAGCAGGCGTCTCTCGGGCAATGGGGGTAGCAGGTGCGTTCCCAGGGCAGAGTGCCCAACGGCTGGGTCAGCCATACCCCAAGGACACGTGGTAGAGCGGGTCAGAGGGACAGCAGTGCAGGGCACCCGCACCAGGGAGACCCCAGAACTGATGCCCTCCACCCTGCTGCCCATGGGTGCCGGCTTGCCGCCCTGAGCAGAGCTAGTAGCATGGTCCTGGCACCATGCAACCATTGCAGTGTCCAGTCCCTGCAGCTCCTTGCTTTTCACACTGGAAGGCAGCTACCTTCTGCCCCGAAAAGCTTGGGGCTTCTGTGCTGCCGGTGCCCCCCTGCCTGGCAGCAGCTCCTGTCTGCTTACAGTGTTCATCACCCACCCCCTGCTTTTTCAGTCTCCACCAAGGGCCAGCCTGACCGCAAGGCAGGGGCAACACCTGCCCGGGCGCAGCAGCTCTGCACTATCTGGTCCTGCTGCATCCTCCCCTGCCCAGGTACTGGCTGGGGCTGCTAAACATGCACCTGGCTGACGCGGCGGGCGCAGAGGCAGGCCCGGTGCTGCCAAGCCCTCGCCCACGCCTGGAACGCCCACAAGCCCTGACCGAAACTGCAGCTGGGCAGCGAGTTTCGGCAGCTCAGGGCTGGGTGCTGGGCCAATGCCAGGAATGAGGGGGTGATGGGCAGGCCCCAGGCTGTGGCATGCTACCCCCTGGCCCTGGCCCCACTGTCCCGCAGCCAGCTGCCCCGGGAGAAGAAGGGAGCTGCTTTCTCGAGCACACAAGGCTCCATTCATCGCCCGTGGTAGAGCCCTGGTGAGCCGTCCCTGTGCTGGCTCTGCCCGTCACAGCTATGTCTCTGTGAAAGGGGATGGAGACAGAGGCCACGCATCCTGCCTGCACACCCGGTCGGTCTGGCCAGGCAGGATGCCCCAGGGCAGAGGTCGCTGTGCCTCCCCGGCCTGCAGCAAGGCAGGAGACACGTGGGGCCCCAGCAGGACTGTGCAGCGCTCGAGCGGGTTTCCCCTTCCTCTCCATGGGTTTTCTTTGTAGCAGCAAGGAGAGGAAAAGCAGCGGCCTGGTGCCACCTCGTGGGAAGAGCTGGAGCCAGCCGCGGCTGCACAAGGCCTGGTGGGGCCGGTGGTTTCCTTGCACGGGGAGGCAGGGCAGGGGCTCCTGTGCAGCCCAGGGGCTTGGCCCCTCTCCCAGCTGCCCCCTGCCTTGCTCGCAGGCTGGCGGCCCGCGGGGATGGGCTGCAGTCGACGTGCCAGTGCCTCAGTTCCCACCAACTCCTCGCGCCCTGCAAGATCCTCACCAAAGCCCCGCCACTTCCCACCCCAGGCCCTACATTCGCCAGTCCTGTTACCCAAATGTGCAGCTGAGTCCTGCTCATTTTTAAGTCCTGCCCTGTTTGAAGGGAGCAAGGGGGGCCCTGAAGGAGCCCTCCTGACTTACAGCTTGTGGAGCAGTCAGGAGCATCCGGGCTCCCGGGGTGAAGGCAGCTGAGCCCAGCTGTTCCAGGGGTGGGGAGGCTTCGGCCCAAGTACCGCTGTGTGCCCAGGACCTCTCCACCCTCGGGCCTGGGCAGAGCCTGTTCTCCCTTGCCTCTGGCGGTGGCCAGTGAAGCCCCAGACACGCATTTGGAAAGGCCACACTAATTCATAACCCCCTGCCCAAGAGCCCCAAGGCACGCACAAACGATGCGTAGGCAATACCAGCCTCCTGCCCCATCCCAGCCCCTGCCTTTGCTCAGGCTCTCTGCCCACACCCGAGTCATGGTCCCCACGAGCAGCGGTGCTGGGGGCACGTCTAGGGCTCCCCACAGGGCAGCTGCGCTGGATCAGGCTGTAGGGCCAGGGCAGGATCCCATTCCCTCCTGAGGAGCAGCCGGCCCTGCGTGATGGAGCTGGGCACAGCACTGAGCTGCCAATTCCCGGAGGGTGGTGCAGCGAAGCGGGACTCCACTCCGCATCTGGGAGCTGGCAGAGGTGACCTGAAAGATGAGAGCAGCATGTGCCCGGGGGGAGGCAGCCCCTCCTCGCATCGCCTGCTGCAGGGAACCTGTCGGGTGCATGGGGAGCCTGCCAGAAGCAAAGCAACACGCTCAAGTATTGGAGGAAGATCCAGCCAGTCTCCCTGGCAGAGACCTTGGCCTTCCCCGTGAAACACTTTCTCCCTGTCCTGGGGAGTGGAACGGCCCCACGGCAGACAAGGACGTTGTGCAGCAGGCCGAGAAATGTGGCAGAAGCGCCCACTCGCCCTGCAAGAAAATTGGATGCCCTGGCAGAGAGGAGGAGACGAGGGAACGGTCAGCGTTGCAAGCAGCGGTGAGGCCTACAGGAACCAAGGAAGTGTGAAACGAAGAAATGCCCCTGTTGCATTGCTGGGGCTGGGGCTGTGGCTGGCTAAAGCGCTGCCTCCTGAGTCGCGCCTGCAGTCAACTGCTAGGTCCCCACTCACTGCCCGAACACCCCTGCCAGGTGCCGACCAGGTGGGTACCTTCCAGTGCTCACAAACCCTCTCCCAAAGCAGCCCAGGCTTCCCCCTGTGCCAGCGCTGGGTGTGCCAGCTTGGGACAGGAGACAGCCCAGGGCGAGACCCCTCTGCCTGCCGTGCAGTGGGGAGCGAGAGCCAGAGGCACGTGCTCGTGTGCTAATGGCACTGAGCTAGCATCCCGATGAAGTTCGGGTTATTTTGACCCCTGCAACACTTTAGAACTAGCAAGTTTTCAAATCGTCTGGGTTTTGTCAGGTAATTTCTGCACCTCAATTCAGAACAGACACTCGGAGAGCTGGAGTTTGCAACTTGCTAATTGTACCCAGCATATATGAGAGAAACCCGTGCATCAGGATGTATCCTTTTGATTTCCTGCTCACAGTGCGTTTGATTCGTGCTCCATCCCATTTCTGTCTGAACGATGCAAAACCAGCGGCTCTGATTTGCTTGCACAACAGCAATTGTCATCTCATTACCTAAAATACGGATTTTATTAGCCTGAGTAAATTCCTGGAGGAGAGTTGCTCTATATGAAGGTTATTCAGATCTGGATTTCATTATTTTGCCCAGGAACCTGTAGCGGGAAGAGGGGGGCAGTGGGGAAGGAGGGGAAGGGAAGCATTTCTCCTCTCTTATTTCCTGCTGCTTTCAAATATCATTTGCACAGCTGCCTGCAGCGCTGGAAGATCAGCACCCATCTCTCCAGAGGAGTGCGCTTCGTGCTGTATATCTGGCTTTAAAAAAAAGCTGCTTTTGGCCCAAATCCCCGATTCCCAGTCTCTCAGTTGACACATTAATGGCTCTGTGGTTTGCCTCTTCCTTTCTGCCCTGGCTTCACTCTCTTTGCTGAGCGTGTGCCAGGGAGGAAACCCCTTACCCAGGGTGGAAAAAGAAAGATTAATACAATTGTTATATTTCGCAGAAAGTCTAGGTCCGTATCAGCCTGTGATGTGATATGAACCGTGTGGTTTCTTCCAGGAAATCTCACCCCTTTTTCAATTTAAAAGGCCAGGGGGGATTTCCAACCGCTCTCTTCCATGACACCCTCGGTTTA